TCTTGGATTCTCATGAAATTCATGGTGCTCCAACGCATGCTCTCCGAGGGATCACCACCAGCGACGAGGGCATGGGGAGAACCCTGAGCCGAGGTACACGATGCTTGCAATACGCCAGCAGCCAAAAACGGTTTGAACTGATGTGTGATGGCGTTCAAGAGTTTATCGAGCTTGGTGGGCGGAGGAACACGCATCTTGAATTGACGAGTTCCGACCCATGGTTCAACCCGAACCAATTCAACACAGTTCCGCGAGCCGTCCTTCGGACCATTTCTGCACTGGTGCCATACGGATCCGCGCGGGGAGGTGGCTGCACGACACAACGACCCACGACCACCTGGCAGCAAGACCCACCCAGACGCCAGCACCAACATTCCCCTGGCAGAGAACAGCGTCTCGACGACGTGGCTGCCGTGGTATCCGATTTGATGCTCTCTGTTCCCTGTCTGCTCCGAGTTCAAGAGGCTATCTAGTTTTCTACCCAACTTGCCCGAGACAGTCGTGGCGCCGCTCTCCCCGGGAGATCGCGGTGCCATTGCGCGGGGGGCGGTCGTGGGCCCGCCAGGATGGGGCGGGTTTCGCGCGGCCAATAATCACGCCAAGTATCTCGGCTTTTTGCTCGGCCCTGGTCGCGGCTGCAAGGCGCGCGGCAAGGCGCTGTCCAAGTGCTTGGATAACGCGGCCTCGTGGGGGAAAGCGTGGGGCGGCTTCCTCGCCGCGGCGGTCGCTTGTTCTTTCTACATCGCCTTGGTGGTAAGCTCTCTGATTCAACTCAATGGCTTGCCCCCGCCCTGGCCCGCAGTGGAGGCGGAGGCGCTCTGCGCGCTTGCGCCTGGCATCAGCCGATGGGGGCGGCCCAGCCACCTCCGGCACGTCGATCTGTTGGGTTTCTCCAACTTGCGCGGATATGGGCGCGCGGGCGCAGGCGGCCCAGTTCCGGGCATCTCGCCCGGGCGCGGATCACTCCGGCGGCGCGCCCGCCCGGTGGCGGACGACGCTGCGACGAAGGCTACCTGATTGGTTCGCCCGCTCCTTCCTGCCGCAGACGCTCCGGCCCGCCGCGTCGAGGCGCGCGGGGCGGCACCCGGGGAGGTGAAGCGCAGGGCCCTTCGCTTAGGTGGTGGCGCTCTCCCGCGGCCCCTCGCGCGGCAGTAGGCGCAGCTCGCGATGGCGACCTTCCAGCTGACCGCAGCGGCCTAGCTGCCCCAGGTGACGACACTCGACCTGGAGGTGCGCATCCAGCACGAGCTCAGCAGGTGGCGCGCGCCAGAGCCCCCTCGGGCCTGGGCATCCCGCTGCGTCGAGTTCGCACAGACAATGCGAGGGCGAGCGCCGTTGCGAGTCTGGGCAGCGACGCGGCGCGCACAATGTAACGGCTGGGCCGCGAGCAGGCGCGCGCAAAGTGCCACGGGCCTCGCTGCTTGCATGTCTCGGTGCTCCGACGAGGCGCCGGACTCCATCGCGCACTGCGCCACCTGCTCGCGCTTGCACGAAGTGACAGGTAGGCGGCTGGGCCTGCCGCGCGCTGCTTTGCCAGACGCGCGGTTGGCCGCCTTCCTCGGTTTGGGCTTCCGTGCTCACAGCGACCCGCGAGGGCGGTCTGCGCGGCAGCCCGCGCAGCCGCGGCGCATCGCACACATTGTCTGTGTCGCCACGGGAGGGGGCTGACGGCGATGGAGGCCCTCGACCAGTCGTGCCACGAGACGGTGCGCGGGCACAGCCGCGCGCACGGATGGAATTGATTACGTGTCTGGAGTTCGTCGTCTCCCTCTGCGTGTCCCGCCGCGCGGAGCCCGCACTTGCTGGCCCGCACTGTTTGCCCAGCTCCGCCGCGCTGCGCTGCGCCGGCAGCCCGGCATAGTTTTGCCTGGGAAGCGCACGGTGCGCTCAGGCCGCGTCGCCGTCGCGGCCGCGTCGCATGTGTTCGCGCATGTTGCATAGCGTTGACATCAAATTTCGTATGTCCGCTGTTCGGGGTCTCTGGTCCGCGCACCGCCTGGGGGTGTGTGCGCGCCACTTAGCTTCTGTTGGCTTGCAGCTTCCTTGTCCGCTGTTCTGCTGCGGACGTGGGTTTGTCAGATGATTCGAGTCCGGGCATTGTCGTATCAGCCCTTTCCTCCTCCTTTTCCTCCTCCTTCGTCGTCCCCTTCCGTCTTCCTCCTCTCCCTTCCCTCCTGTCCCCCTTGGCGCTGTGTGTAGGAAACGTCGTTGGCCGTTCGAGCTTTGGGAGATATCCACACGCATGCAGAGCAACTGCGTTGTCGATTTGTTGTCCAGGCCACGGTTCATTGCATGAGTTTGCCTATTGCAGGTTGGCTTGTGCGTTCTTGGTTTGTCAAGCGATTTGTTTTTCGCGATGTGGTTGTGCCTACGTTTGTGGTTCCAATCCCGGAGTGCGCGAGGGAAAACACATTGCTACGGAGGAGGAGGGAGAAGAGGAGCAGGATGACTAGTGCGAATCCAAGACGCATCAATGTTGCATTACACCCTCCTGCCAAACTCCCTCGTGACAGATCCCTGCTATAAGTTTTTTTCATTGCGGAAAGGGGCCCGTTAGAAGACAGTCTTCTTATAATCTTCACTCATGCCAGAGCACCATCCTTGGGATTGCAACGCCGCGGATCAACGTGACAATTGCGCCCTGACAGTCCTAAATCGTGCCGGACCGTTCCTGGGAGTTAAACGCCCCGAGTCGAAGTGATTGTTGCGTCTTGGCAATCCTAAATCGTACCAGGGTGCTGTTCTTAGGATTCCAAGCATGCGAACGTTTGACATTGTCGCAAACTCTTAAAACGAAAGTGTGCTCGCTGGGCGAGAGCCACATTTTGCAAATGAGCCAGCCTCCATGTTTGAAGTGGTTGCAAACGTTTAGTATGAATGCGCGCGGCGCTAAGGCGAGAATCGCCCTACATCTTCGACACTGCTGCAAGCTTTCAGGTGATGGTGCGCGGCGCTGAGGCGAAAGCCACATGTTGAAAACCATACATCCGTCATCTTCCAAACGGCTGCAAACATTTAAAGCGAATACGCGCGGCGCGAAGCGAGAACCACATTTTGAAAACCACCCGCCCTTCATCCGTGAAGCTGCTGCGAACTCGAAGATTCATAAGCATAAGCTGCGAGGAAGCCTCAGGCGAAACGCCCGGCCCGCCCTACCGACACGGTTAGGGATGTGGCAGGGAGGACTTATTGATCAGAGATAGGGGGCCGCACGGTCATTCACTGTCCCTGGGTGCGTGGCTGAAGTGGGCTTCCGCAGTGCGGATTGTTGTTGTTGATGGTGTTGTTGTTGGTGTTGGTGTTGGTGTTGTTGTTGTTGTTGTCGTTGTTGGTGTTGTTGTTGCTGTTGTTGTCGTTGTTGTTGTTGGTGATTTGCGGTTGTTGTTGTTGTTGTTGTTGTTGGTGTTGTTGTTGATGTTGTTGTCGTCGTTATTGTTGTTGATGTGTGTTGTTGTGTGTTGTTTGTTTATTGCTTGTTTATTGTTTGGTGTCGTCGTCCATTGCGCGACCCACCTACAATCCAGCTGCAACCCACCCGCGACCCACCCGCGACCCACCCGCGACCCACCAGCAACCCACCCTCGACACTTGCGCGACCCACCCGCGACCCAGCCCGCGCTTGCTCCCTCTTATTCGCAACTGTGGGATGCTGCAGAACGAAGAGGGATGCAGGCGGAGGGGATGAGAAAGAGGAAGGGGATCAGTCGCAGCCAGCGTACCTGGAACGCGCGCCGCGCTGGGAGGTCCTGCTCAGGGAAGACAGCCCGTCGAGGCGGTGCCAGTCTTTTCAGGCCCCCCTCCCTGCCGCTTGTTGCCAAATGCGGCCCTGGCCCGGAGTGCGCCCATACCCACAACGTCTTGCAAGAGTCAGTGTGGAAATATTGTGAAGGCCTCACGGCCGGTGCCGCCGACCCAGAAGGACGACGACGACGACCACGACGACGACGACCACGACGACAACGACAACGACGAGCTGAAAAACCTTGTCGGAGCCTCGGGACATGGGGCGGGTGGTGGATGGAGGAGGAGGAGGAGGATGAAGAGAGGAGGAGGAGGAGCAGGAGGAGGAGGCGGAGGAGGAGGCGGAGGAGGAGGCGGAGGAGGAGAAGGGGAAGGGGGAGGGGGAAGGGGGAGGGGGAGGGGAAAAGGACAAGCTAGGTGCGCTCGCGTCATATCTGACGTCCTACCCCTCCCTCCCATCCCTTACCATGGCGCTGCTTTTCTCTATCCGTGGACGCGTGTCGTAGCGGACCTGTGGCTCCGCGCGCTCGTGCGTAGTGGGTGGTGGTGCGCGTGCGTGCGTGCGTGCGTGTGTGCGTGGTTGTGGTGGTGGTGGTGATGGTGGAGGTGGTGGTGGTAGTGGTGGTGGTGGTGGTGGTGGTGGTGGTGGTGGTGCTGGTGGTGGTGGTGGTGTTGTTGGTGCTGGTGCTGGTGCTGGTGGTGGTTGTGGTGGTGGTGGTGGTGGTGGTGGTGGTGGTGGTGCGGCGCGGTGGTGGCGGGCGGATGGGCGCGCGAGAAAGAGGCCCGCGCTGGGGCGAGAACGCCATCCTGAACGACGGAGGCCAAACACCGATCCGAAAATGAGGCCCACGCTGCAGCGGGAGCACGATTCGGAACGATTCGGGAGCAGAAATGAGGCCGGCGCCTCAGCGAGAGCAGCATTTTGGAAAATAACGCAGGCGAAAACCCGCTTCCGGGGAATTCTGTGTGTAAAAAACACTACGCGGGGGGGGTCGGATATCTTCGGGACGCCATCAGGGGAAGTGGGAGAGTATTTTGATATTGTGTAATTGTGGAGGAGGAGGAGGAGGAGGAGGAGGATGGGGAGGAGGAGGAGAAAGAGGAGGAGAAAGAGGAGGAGAAAGAGGAGGAGGAGGAGGAGGAGGAGGAGGAGATTGCGGAGGAGGAGGCGGCGGAGGAGGAGGAGGAGGAGGAAGACAGGACGCTGCAAGAGAGAACGTCGCGCACAGCGCAGGACGACCACCTGGAGACAGGGGGAGAGCGCCACGAGGGCCCAAACCCCTGCCCGCACCAGAGATCGCCCACCAGCCCACCAGAAGGATCACGGCTCGGAACAGGGGCGGGCAGAGAAAACAAAACGAGGACGGGCGGCGGGGCGGTTTTGGCCAGAAGTTGACGTCCGACGCGCGCAGAGCGCGCAGGGCGGTGGATCGAACCCGAGCAGCCCAGCAGATATTCAAATCAGACAGGCGGGTTATGGTCTCCAGGATTGACCTCTGGAGATCCGCTCCTTTTTCCCATGGCCAGGGGGCCACTCACCAGGATCCTGTGGCAGAATGTATTCTTTTCTGCGCCGAGTCGATCACGACCACAGCCGATGCTCGTACCAGTGTGCGCCACGCTTCTGGCAGGCTGCCCCCCCTCGTCCTCTGATGGTCCAAGTTGGCATGACACCCACCAGTTCAAGGGGAACGATCATGCCCGCACATCACGTTGTCACCACGATGTGCCGTTTGGCCCCCGTGGCGGCAGTTGCTCTCTACCCTCGTTTGCTCCTCCCGATCCTCGCGTTTGGCATGGTTGGCATTGGCATCGTCTGTGTATCAAGTGCCACGACTTCGTTTGAGGAGGTGCCTGACGAGCCTCACTTGCAAATGCTGCGGCTCCTCTCTCTCTCTCGCCTTGCAGGAGGCGCCCGAGCAGCCTCATTTGCAAGTGGTCTGGCTCCTTGTTCCCACCCGCGCGGGCCCCGCCTGTGGCTTCTATTCGTAGCCTCAACTTGTGCGGCCAGGCTAGGTCGTAGAAGAGTGCCCCCCCCCGCCCCTCCCTGGCGAGCATGACTTTAACCTCAAGCCTGCTTTTGTCCGGTGGCATGACCCGCAGCGGTCGCTGCCGACCAGGCGTTCCCACACGACGGGGCCGTCCACAGCCACTCTGGGCCTCCGTCCTTTGCCTCCTCTCCTCTCCTTCGCCTCCTGATATTTCGGTGCCACATCATGGGAGCCTGTTATACCCTCTGAATTCCGTCTTTAGCGTCGATTCGCGTCGATTAGCGTCTGGAGTCTACGAGATAGCGCCGATTTAGCATCGGTTAGCGTGGATTAGCGTCGACTTAGCGTCGATTGGCGTCGATTTAGCGCCGATTAGCGTCGATTCGCAAGAGCCGACAAGATGGTATGTGAGGCTCCCATGAGTTGCCACCGAATGACATTGGCGACAAGCTCCACAGCCCCTGCTGTGATAGGTCTGCTCCGTTCTTCCCCCCCTCCTCGTCATTCGGCTCCTGATACGGGGGCTACCTCCACAGCCCCTGCTGCGTTACAGTGGGAGCCCATGCCAAGGAACCGCTCTGCTTGACTCCAGGGTGCCCTGGGTTTCTTGGCTTTTCGGTGGTTTTGCGATGGAAAGCGTGACGTTCCCACACCAAAAATCAATAGACGTCCTGGTGTCTCAGGGTTGGGTTTCTTGTGGAAGGTTTCTTGTGATCGAGCTCCTACTGTAGGTCTGCTCCGTCCTTTCTCTCCATTCCTCTACTTGGCATCTTAGCATGGAAGGCAACATCCATAGCCCCTGCTGTGGTAATTTGGTCTGCTCTTGTGCGACAGCCTGCACACCGTTCCTGGATGGATCCTGGGTCAGTTTGGCAGGATCCCTGGTATAACTGGCACATTCCCTCCCTCCGCTCTTCATCATATTAAGTGTATATGCGTACATGTAGAGGAAGGTTGTTCCTCTCTCTCTCTCTATATATATATATGTAGTTGTGTGTCCTCTCCCTTCCCTTCCCCTATGTTATCCAGCAATCGGACCCATGTCCCGGACATCCAGTGACCCTGCCACTTTTCCAAAAGCCTTCGGCCTTCGGTGTAGTTTGCCGCGCGTCTGCACCCTCCCTTCCGTGATCAACAGGTGTGCATTCGCGTAAGCCTCATTCTGATCAAAATTCTCTCCCTCTTCTCCCCCTTCCCTTATCCGTCCCCCTCTCGTAGTAAGGCGGATCATCACCAGCGCCCAGAGTGGGGCGGGATCAGGAGCGGCAGTCCTGTGCATCCTCACGGGGTGCATCAAGGCGGCATTCCGCGATTCCTCGCGGCATGCACGTGGCTTCTTGCTGCCTCTCTCTGCTGGCAGGCTGGGTCTCGCTCCGGGGACCCGCCCCATACGCAATGACAGCGACAGTCCTCGATCCTCTCTCCTCCCCTCGCCCATCCTCCCCCCTACGATTGCCAATCCAGCATCCCAGCATCCCTCCCCCCACCTCCATTTTCCCGTCCTCCTTCCTCGGCCCTCTTCCTCCATCCGTCCTCCCTCTGGCCTCCCCCCCTCCCTGTCGCCTCCCCCCCACGCAAGGCGCACCCATGCACCGCCACCGTGTCCTGCCAGGGCCATCCTGGTCCTTGAGATGGTGCTGTGTTGTATAGGCCGGCCAGGAGCGCGTTTCCACGGAGCCAGGGTCCGGGCCAGGCATGGTGGTGGTGCGTAGGTGCCCTCTGCGTCTCCATCCTCCCTCCTCCCTTCCGCCTCCCCAGATCCGCGGCGTCGTTGATCTCCTCGCAGCGTGGACCCCAGTTCCCGCCCCCCCCTCCCGGACCGGCGGTCCATCCCAAGTCGTATGTTGACGGCTCCGGGGCCTGCTGGTCAGGGCCTCCAGGCGCCGAGGGCCGTGGTTTTCCTCGCGACTCGAGGGGGGCGTGGGCCCCCCTCTGGGCCTCCCATGGTGGGGTCCGAGGAGACGCAGCCGGAGGATCGCGCCGCATCGCTGATGCATCGGCGATGCTGCTCGATGTGGATCTCGATTTTGTTCGCGCCGACGGCTCTGATGCATCGCCGACGTCGCCGATGTGGCGCGATCCTCCGACCCCATCTGCTCGGACCCCATCCAGGAGGCCTCTACGCTCCCTCCCTGCCCCCCCCGCCCTTCCCGCCTCGCGCCCCTGCCTCTGAGGTGGGCGCCTCGCCGCAGAGACCCCTTGGGCCCGTCGGTGCGCCGCGGGGCTGGACAAAGCTGGCCGCACCCCTCCCGGTGGCCCCAGCACCTCGTGGCCAGAGGTGGTGGACCAGACACCCAGGCAGCGGAAGGACTGAATTCTGACATATTTGCTGTTTGGTGCGAATATACGTAGCACCCTGGAGTTGTGGATAAGAGTGAGAGGGCGGGCGCGGGGTGGGTCGCGGGTGGGTCGCGGGTGGGTCGCGGGGTGGGTCGCGGGTGGATCGCGGGGGCGGTCGCGGGGTGGGTCGCTCCTCGATCCTCCTCCTTCTTCTCATCCTGCTTGGGGTACGGTGCCTTGGGCGCAGCATCGTGAACACTATCATCTCTGGCGTGGCTTCCCTCTCGCAGGCCGTTATTTGGTCAACGCTGGTTTCATTATATCACATTGATCCAGAAACATGTCCTCGTCACGTTCACGGTCTGGGCGGCTTTCTTTGCTCGTGAACCTTGGAAGCCTAGCCAGCCAGCCAGCCTGCCGCTCCTCGTCGTCATCTCCCTCCTCCGCTCCTCTTTTCTCTCAAGGGAGCAGCAGACCACCCCGACCCAAACTAAGCGGAGTTTACCAAGCAGTACTGAACGTTCACTAAGCAGTCGTTCTCCTCTCGATCGCTTCTTGAGGTGTGCTTCTTGCTCAAGAGATCCGCTTGCACGTGGCGTTTATTGTAAGGGTGGTCAATATGCCATCTCTCTTCTCTCTTCCTCGTGGGAAACAAGTGTTCTCGTTTGTAGAACAACAGAACCATCAACCAAATAACATAACCATCAACGGGACACACTCCTGGTAGCTCGAGGCTCGAGGGAAGCTCGATCCTCGACCCTTGATCCTCGGATGCTGAGCGGTTCGAGTCGGTTCGTTCCTGGAGGAGCGCGAGATTCGAACCCTGTTTGCTCCTCGAGCTCCGAGCGAGCTCCTTTTGCCCCCCAAAACAGTGACAGTGATGTCACTTTGGGATTCTTAGTTGCGTTTCTAAGTAATGTGATGGGTGTCCTGAGGATTCGCCACCTTCTGGCTTGTTGCCGCTCCGTTGCCGCCCGTTGCCGCCTGTGGGGGTGTCCTGGGGACTTGTCACGCTAAGGCCCGTTGCCGCCTTTTGCCGACCGTTGCCGCCCGTGGGGGTGTCCCGAGGATTCGCCACGTTGCGGCTTGTTGCCGCCCGTTGCCGCTTGTGAAGATGTCCAGGGGATTCGCCACGTTCCAGCCCGTTGCCGCCAGTCGGGGTGTTCGGAGGATTCGCTATGCTCCGACCCGTTGCCGCTTGCCACGGGCCGCTGTCTTGCTACGGATTTGGCATTGCCGCCTCGGTGCCGTCCATTTTGGGGGTCCGTCGAAGTTGCACCACAAAGCTTGCACCGCACAGCACACAGCTTGCGCCACACAGCTTACATCACATAGCTAGCTTGCCCCGCTTAGATTGCATCACGTAGCTCACACATCCACAGTGCAATATCTTACTGCTTAGGGTCCACGGCGGCCAACAGTCGATTCGGCACTCCAAGTAGCCGTTCAGGTCATGTGGGGATGTCGCACCACACCTCTGTCCTTGAACCCTGTCCTCGCCCTCCCCTCGTCCACCTCGGCCAGGACGGCTGCCCGTGGCCACCCATTTCAAGCTGGCCAACGAATGTGGACGCTTCTCTCCTCTCGCACGGCGGCAGCTGTTGGTTGGGTCTTTGAGAGGTTGACACCATCACCCACATCGGCGGTGTGCCTCCGCCGAGGGAAGATGGTCCCGATCTCGGTGATGGTGGTAATGTTCGGACTCCCTGGGTGACCGAAAGAATACCACCAACACCAACATCAAGGACCATCTTGCCCCAGTGGAGGCAACCCCTTGCTTCGGTGTTGGTGCTCACTTCCCAGGCCTCCGAACAAATCGATCCCTCAGGCGCGCCCTCCTGGCAGCCGCCCTCCGCTGCCGCTGCGGCGTCACCGCGGCGGCCGCCGCCGCGGCCGCCGACCGGGCCGCCTGGGACCCCGGCGCAGCTCCCGCGGGCTGATGGGGGGGGCCCGCCGCGGCCCCGAGCTCGGCGCGGTCGGATCGAGGA